AGGTCCAAGCGCCAGGGTCCTCGGTGGAGTGGGGTGGCGTGGGGCGGAGGAGCCGCTGCGGCAGCCCTGGGCCGCTCCTGGGTGGCATCTGCAGGGCGGGGCCGCAGTGAGCCTGAGCATGGTGGCCCTCGCCTGGCACAGGAAGTGGCTGTGAGAACGCTGAAGCAGACCTCGGTCGTGCAGGAGAACGGGGAGGAGGAGGAAGAGGAGGAGGAGGAGGCTGAGTTCGGCGAGGAAGATCTTTTCCACCAACAGGTAGCCCTGCGCCCGGGCAGGGGGTGTGCAAAGCCAGCCCCGTCCCGATGTCGCACAGCCCCAACACCCGTCAGCGCATGGCCTGCAGGCGAGCTTGCACGGCTTTGGGGAAGGTGGAGGCAGGACTCTTGCTGTGTTCAAAGCACGCAGAGCAATCCCCGACTTCCAGACCGAGAGTGTGGGAGGCGTGTGTGGCTCAGACCCGGGCCGGAGGGATGGGAGGAGCCGCAGTGAGCCCTGCTGTGTGGGACACCGAGCCTCCAGGCTCCGCCTGACCCAGCCACCTTCTTCTCCCCTCCTTCCTTCCAGGGCGACCCTCGGACAGCGGCAAGGGGCTGCCGCCTGATGTGACCCCGTACGCCCTCGCGCGCTCCCGCAGACCCCGGGACTGTTTTGCTATCATGACTGTCATTAGTTCTGGACACATTTCTAGTTGGTTTTTAAGCAAACCACCAGCGCATGGCGGGGTCTCCGCAGTACTTCCCCGTCGGTGGTGTCCCTGGACCATCCCTCCGTCTCCCCTTCTCTGCTGCCCAGACTTTCTGTCCCACACCCCGCTCCAATTTGCCCTTAGGTTGAATGTGAGGCCCAGGGCCGGGCACCTGGAGGCCAAGAGGTCGGGGGCTGCCACCGGGGAGTCGCGGGGATTCCATAGTGGGGGTGGGTGTTCTTTTTAAAGCTTTCTCAGAACCCAGGTTCCAGCGTGGTGAGGGGGTGTTGAGGGCACCGGCTGTCAGCACTGGGTGGCACCTGGCGATCAAGAGTGGTTGGAGCAGCAGGGAGCGGCCTGGGCCTGGACGCCTGTGGCGACCCCGGTCCTGATGGGCAGGCGGCCGCCTTTTCTGGGCCTCGGTCCTAGAGCTGCTTCCACAGATCTTGCCCTGAGCCTGCAGGACCCATGGGCAGGAGCGGGGGGAGCCTGGGGAACGGGGACCC